TCTCCCAACAAACGGAAATCAAATTTGAGTTTATTTGACTAAGATATCGCCAAAACAAAAATTACCATAAACGGCAAAAACGCTTTATTGAGAGTCTAATTGATGGAATTTGCCAAAATTTGACGTGCATAAGGGCCAAAGGCCTTGTATTGTGATCATTGGCCCGTTTTTAATCAAATTAGACTAGCAATTCGTCAAAAACGAACAAACTCTGAATTAAATGAAATTATTATTTTGCTTCATGAGCACCCCCTTTTTTTGTCCCTTTAGCCATTATTTTCAAAATATATTTTTTCTCTCTCTTCATTTTAATCACGCATTCTACAATAAAATAATACTATACGAAAACTCAAATATTTTTCTTATTTTTTAATCAAACATCCTCCATCAATACATTCTTACAAATAAAATGAGGCTCAAACGGGTCTTTAATATAAGATAGAATTCATTATTTTTGTGAAAAAAAATAACGAATAATCAAGAAGGGGCTTGTGAACTATGAAAGAAAAAATGAATGATCAAGAAGAGGCTTGTGATCTAGTATTTGATTTAAGTTGAGGGCAAACCCATTTGTATAGAAAATGTGTACACCTTGAGGTACAAATGATTATATGGTAAAAAATCAGCTATTGCATTAATTGTGTTTGTTATGGAAGATGTTGTGAGATCCAGCCAAATGCAAATTTTGTAAATGAGAATGTACATATAGCAAGATTGTTAAGTCAATCATATCAGATCCGAAGTTCAAATTTTAGTTATTCGTGATTTTTTTTTCGATACAATTTTAAAATGTGTGTTTATTGTAATATCTTAGTGTATTATAACATTGTATTAATTGAAATAGAAAATTTCAGAAGGATTTGATGGGAAAAAAAATTCCAATCATCCGAATCACTTTCCTTTTGAAATACAGACATCGGAATCATTGAAATTTTCTTTGATTTAAAGAGTAACCTGACTCTTTAGTGAGCACATAGGAATAATAAAATAGTCCAATTGTCACACCACCACCATGGATGCCATTCACCACCACCGCCGCCAAAAAGACCACTGTCAAATCTGGATCTAAATTTGATATCTTGACCGCAACCCACCTCCACTACCGTGAGATCCCCTATCACCATCACCTCCCACCACCTTCAAGAGGCAATGGAATGTAGTAAAGAATCTTGATTGGAGATTTATATCCTGAACTTTTCATCAAGAACTTAATTGCATACAAACATGGCGGCTATAACGTTCCATGGTCGTCGTCGTGTGTGGTGAAATGTGCAAGAACTTCCATAGTATTTTTAAAAATAAAAATAAAATAACAATGTTGCCCCGTAAATCTGTAACTAGCAAAACTTCGATTGTAGCGCCCCGAGTTCTGTT